GGTCACCCGGCCTACGGTGTGAGGGAGATCAGTGTCCACCGCTTCAGTAAGATCCTCAGTGAGTTCGCTCTGGAGTACCGGACCACCCGGGACCGCGTCCTGCAACAGAGACAGAAACGAGCCGACCACCGCGAACGCAACAAGACCCGCGGCAAGATGATCATTGACGTCAGTACACCCGTGAGTACTGCGTATCACACACACACACACACACACACACTACTTGTGCACTGTAACCCCCCCAGGACTGTCTTGATCTTGAGTTCTCAGGATCTCTGTACACATGGAGACAGAGACGTCTGTTCAGAGGGGTCCCGTGTTAGACTGCTCAAAGGTCTTTTGGATGTGGCCCTTATCTAAAACATCTGTAGGTGTTGATGTCACCAGACGCTCATTGACTCTCCCAACAGCATGCCCCTCGGGTGCATGGGGGGAAAACTAGTGAGAACAGAGTTTTAATACACTTATAAATCACAAAAGCCATACAATATGCAAGTTGTTGAGCTAAAGCATTAGAGGGGAAACCGTAGACACATATATAATGTATGACATCATGAGTGTGTTTGAACACCACCCCTCTCATTAAGGCTTCCTCTCTAATCTTCATCAAAGTATAATTATAGTAGAAACTGATAATAATTACAGCGTGTAACTGAGAACAAATGGAGGAAGTGTGTGTATTCATGTTGTATGTGTGTGTGAATTGAACCCTGCATTTTAAAGGTTAAGGGTTACTGTCAGTGTAAATCCAAAAGGGTCACATATGGAGGTGCTCTTTTATTCCACCCCTCATTCTTCTCTTCTAATCTCTTCTTCGCTCTTTCCCCCCCGTAGTCTGATGAAGAAGAGGAAATGGAGGTATCACAGTCTGTTTCTGTGTCTCTGTCATGACACTCTCTTCACTGACCTTCCCCCTGTCTCTGTCATGACACTCTCTTCACTGACCTTCCCCCTGTCTCTGTCATGACACTCTCTTCACTGACCTTCCCCCTGTCTCTGTCATGACACTCTCTTCACTGACCTTCCCCCCTGTCTCTGTCATGACACTCTCTTCACTGACCTTCCCCCTGTCTCTGTCATGACACTCTCCTTCACTGACCTTCCCCCCTGTCTCTGTCATGACATGACCTTCCCCCTGTCTCTGTCATGACACTCTCTTCACTGACCTTCCCCCTGTCTCTGTCATGAACACCTCTCTTCACTGACCTTCCTCCATCTCTGTCATGACACTCTCTTCACTGACCTTCCCCCTGTCTCTGTCATGACACTCTCTCACTGACCTTCCCCTGTCTCTGTCATGACACTCTCTTCACTGACCTTCCCCCTGTCCTCTGTCATGACACTCTCTTCACTGACCTTCCCCCTGTCTCTGTCATGACACTCTCTTCACTGACCTTCCCCCTGTCTCTGTCATGACACTCTCTTCACTGACCTTCCTCCATCTCTGTCATGACATTCTCTTCACTGACCTTCCCCCCTGTCTCTGTCATGACACTCTTTTCACTGACCTTCCCCCTGTCTCTGTCATGACACTCTCTTCACTGACCTTCCCCCTGTCTCTGTCATGACACTCTCTTCAACTGACCTTCCCCCTGTCTCTGTCATGACACTCTCTTCACTGACCTTCCCCCTGTCTCTGTCATGACACTCTCTTCACTGACCTTCCCCCTGTCTCTGTCATGACACTCTCTTCACTGACCTTCCCCCTGTATCTGTCATGACACTCTCTTCACTGACCTTCCTCCATCTCTGTCATGAAACTCTCTTCACTGACCTTCCCCCTGTCTCTGTCATGACACTCTCTTCACTGACCTTTCCCCCTGTCTCTGTCATGACACTCTCTTCACTGACCTTCCCCCTGTCTCTGTCATGACACTCTCTTCACTGACCTTCCCCCTGTCTCTGTCATGACACTCTCTTCACTGACCTTCCCCCTGTCTCTGTCATGACACTCTCTTCACTGACCTTCCCCCTGTCTCTGTCATGACACTCTCTTCACTGACCTTCCCCCTGTCTCTGTCATGACACTCTCTTCACTGACCTTCCCCCTGTCTCTGTCATGACACTCTCTTCACTGACCTTCCCCCTGTCTCTGTCATGACACTCTCTTCACTGACCTTCCCCCTGTCTCTGTCATGACACTCTCTTCACTGACCTTCCTCCATCTCTGTCATGACACTCTCTTCACTGACCTTCCCCCTGTCTCTGTCATGACACTCTCTTCACTGACCTTCCCCCTGTCTCTGTCATGACACTCTCTTCACTGACCTTCCCCCTGTCTCTGTCATGACACTCTCTTCACTGACCTTCCTCCATCTCTGTCATGACACTCTCTTCACTGACCTTCCCCCTGTCTCTGTCATGACACTCTCTTCACTGACCTTCCCCCTGTCTCTGTCATGACACTCTCTTCACTGACCTTCCCCCCATCTCTGTCATGACACTCTCTTCACTGACCTTCCCATTGTCTCTGTCATGACACTCCCTTCACTGACCTTCCCCCTGTCTATTATTGGCTGTCTGTTTTCCTCTCAACTTTGGTCTGTGTGTTGTAGTCATCTAACACTGATTGGTTGGCAATTCACATACTGTTGTCCATTGTTGCCAAGCAACACCTGTGAAGCTATTTTGACTCTGTACTGTTTGAGAGGTTTTCATACAGAATAACAGTTGTGTGACAATGTATTTCTTTATGTGTGGATTCTAACAGCTTCTATCTCTCTCAATGTCATTCTAAATGATGCTTTATCTCTAGGGATATTCTATCTCGCAAGGTCTATCTCTACAAAAAACCACTCCCTGTCTCCCCAGGGCTGGGACTAGTCGATCTTGCTCTAGATCTCCCCTTATATTCTCATCTCTCTCTCTCTCTCTTCTCTCTATCCTCTTCCTTCTCTTACTCCCTTCTCTCTCGCTCTCTCACCCAGTCTCCAGGGTGGTTGTTAAGAGCAGCAGTGCCCCTGGTGGCGGGGTGGGAGCTTGCAGCCTCAGGGTCTGGGCATACGAGGATGCTGCTGCAGAGCATGAGTTCATGAAGGCAGTACTGAAGACCAGCCTGCAGGGCGGGCGACAGAGAGACATCAGGGGTGCCGGGGCTACGCACAGTACCAAGTGCAGAGACACCATGCAGAGGAACGGGAGGGAGAGGATCACACATGCAGGAGTGCACCCTCACACACAGCAGGCAGCAGGGCACAGAGATTGGGTCTTTACTCTCTGTTAATATCTCGCTAGGCTCCAGTCACCATATAACGCTCAGCTCGCGCTCGGTACTAGGACCTAGCGCTGCTGTCTGTCGATCGAGACTATCGAGCGCGAGGCGGCTACGAGAGAGCCTCGAGCGAGACCGCGCGGGAGCGCTAGCTGGCGCCGAACGCGAAGCGACCGGCCCTCCGAGACGCGCACTTTGCGAGGCGCGCCGGCGAGCGCCGAAGACGGGGCCGCGCTCAGCGCCTCCGAGGCGGGTCGCGCGCGCCTAGCGCGCCGATTCGCACGCGAGCGCGACTCTCTCTCTCTCTCCGACCTCTTCTATCTCTCCCTCTCTCTCTCTCTCTCTCTCTCTCTCTCCTCTCTCTCTCTCTCTCTCTACCTCTACCTCTCCAACCTCTCTCTCCTTCTCTCCGTCAGGTCGTGTACAACAGGCATGGACGCCTCCCGCAGCAGTGGGGGTGGAGTCTCAGAGGTTAGATGATGATGAGGCTGACGAGATCATGGATCGCATCGTGAGGTCAGCCACTCAGGGCCCCAGTCAGAGAGCAGTGCCCCGGGAGAGGAGGAGATCACGAGCCAACCGCAAATCACGTATGTCCTCACTCACAGTCAATCACATTTGGTCTTACTCACACCAGGAACCAATCATGAGACTCCGGCTGCACGACGAACCACTTTTACGCCAGCCCAGCTCTAAAAACGATGGGTTAATCTAATCAAGGGTGTGGGTTTTGGAGAATGATGTAGGGCTGAAACAAAAGCCTGCTCACTCTGCAACTCTCCAGCATTAAAACCCAGCCTTTAGTTATCAGGTTTAGTCATGAGAATATATATTTATTTACAGATAACCAGAGCATACTCATGATGCCTTTCTCGCTCTGTGTGTGTGTGTGTGTGCGGGCGTCCGTGCGTGTGTGTGTGTGTGTTGTTGTGTGTGTGTGTGTGTGTGTAGTGAGGCGGACTCTGAAGAGCGGTCTGACTCCAGAGGAAACCCTACTCCTTGGACTCTCCGACGCCTCCGAGATGCCAATGTGACATCATCGCCCCCCATGGAGCGCCATTGGAAACGCACCCTTTCGTGACCCCATGTCACGCTTCTGCCTTCACCTCGCCCCGATTCCCCAGAACCCCAGTCAGCCAATTGGTAGCCTTGTTACTAGATTCTGTTGTACCGGTAGCGAATCACGCGTTAGCTTCATGTGTCTGTAGTTGGCGTCTTCGTTGAGGTGTCTCTTCGGAAGCCCCTCAAGGAAAAGCGAAGGGAGACTGTACATCTTTATGTTAGAAATGTATTTTGTGGAAAAAGAGGCAAGAGGCAACACGATGGAAGTTGGTTTAATGAGAATGAATTGAGAACGAATCTCAAAATGTGTCATTTTCAACATGCCTCATGGCTTGATTGGAGACAGATTCATCACTTTGATAGGATTATTTGTATTTATATTAGTTTAGTGTACTGTTACAGCCTATAGATATGAAACAAACAAAGGGAGAATAGTTGTTGCTTGCTGCAAGTACCCTACAGTAGGCCTATAACTGTTTGTATTAAAGCTGTGAACTTCAGGGTTTGAAGACAGAATAAAGTTTGACTCATTTGTCCATTTCTCTCACATAATATAATGGGGTGAACCCTGACCTTTGACAACAGCATTCTAAAGACTGACAATCATTCAATATTATGCTGTTCCATAGTGATGCAATAATTACTTTGTAATTATATTATTATTATTATTACACACTGCTTTTGTTGTCTAATGGACAACAACAACTGTCACAATATGCTTCTCAATAATTTATTTTACCCTTATTTTACCAGGTAACTCATTCTCATTTACAGCAACGACCTGGGGAATAGTTACAGGGGAGAGGAGGGGGGGATGAATGAGCCAATTGGAAGCTGGGGATGATTAGGTGGCCATGATGGTATGAGGGCCAGATTGGGAATTTAGCCAGGACACCGGGGGTTAACACCCCTACTCTTACGATAAGTGCCAAGGGATCATTAATCAGTAGTGACCACAGAGAGTCAGGAGATCCGTTTAACGTCCCATCCTAAAGACGGCACCCTACACAGGGCAATGTCCCCAATCACTGCCCTGGGGCATGAAGGGGAAAGAGTGTCTCCTACTGGCCCTCCAACACCACTTCCAGCAGCATCACGTCTTTTATTTGATTTTATTTAACCTTTATTTTATTTATTTGAGACGAGACAAGCTCTCTCTACTCTCCCATTGTAACTATTTTTTTTATATTTTTTATTTTATTTAACTAGGCAAGTCAGTTAAGAACAAATTCTTATTTACAATGACGGCCTACCAAAAGGCAAAAGGCCTCCTGCGGGGACGGGGGCTGGGATTAAAAATACAAAATAAAATATGAATATAGGAGAAAACACATCACGGCAAGAGAGACGCCACAAAACACTACATAAAGAGAGACACCACAACACTACATAAAGAGAGACACCACAACACTACATAAAGAGAGACACCACAACACTACATAAAGAGAGACACCACAACACTACATAAAGAGAGACACCACAACACTACATAAAGAGAGACACCACAACACTACATAAAGAGAGACACCACAACACTACATAAAGAGAGACACCACAACACTACATAAAGAGAGACACCACAACACTACATAAAGAGAGACACCACAACACTACATAAAGAGAGACACCACAACACTACATAAAGAGAGACACCACAACACTACATAAAGAGAGACACCACAACACTACATAAAGAGAGACACCACAACACTACATAAAGAGAGACACCACAACACTACATAAAGAGAGACGCCACAACACTACATAAAGAGAGACACCACAACACTACATAAAGAGAGACACCACAACACTACATAAAGAGAGACACCACAACACTACATAAAGAGAGACGCCACAACACTACATAAAGAGAGACCTAAGACAACAACATAGCATGGCAGCAACACATGACAACACATCATGTTAGCAACACAACATGGCAGCAGCACAACATGGTAGCAGCACAAAACATGGTACAAACATTATTGGGCAACAGACAGCAGCACAAAGGCAAGACTGTAGAGACAACAATACATCACGCGAAGCAGCCACAACTGTCAGTAAGACTGTCCCATCCAGGACCAACCCTGCTTAGCTTCAGAGGCAAGCCAGTGGTATGCTGCTGGCTTAATCAGCATTCTTCTCATAGTCTTTAGTGAGACACTATTGATCTACATGTGTCATGCATCAGATCTGAATTGTTTTGGTTTTTGATATATCTTATTTATTAGATGTGTGCCTTTTTGTTTGACAGATATCCTACAACCTTTTTCTCATCCTCTTTCTCGCTCTGTTCTGTCCTTTTGAGTTTTTACCGGTTACATTGACAGAAGAAACTTTGGGGATTTTGGGGGGGGGGGGGGTATTTAAGTTTATGTAAAACGGTGAACTAAAACCTATGCTGTTGGATTTAATTTCTGTTACACCTTTCACCTGTATACACACCCTGCAATAAAACGACATTGTTCAGTAAAGTGAGTGTGCGTGTGATAATTATGTGTGTGCTTTATTTGTCCTGTGTTTTTTTGTTTCTGAGAGTGGGGTCACGGCTAGGGTCAGCCATTATCAACGGGGACACTGGAGCAATTAGGGTTAAGTGCCTTGCTCAAGGGCATTTCGACAAATGTTTCACCTTGTGGGCTCAGGGATTTGAACTAGCGACCTTTCTGTTACTGGCCCAACACTCTAATCGCTAGGCCTCCTGCTGTGTGTGTGCGCATGCAGAGGAAGGCCCTGAAAAATGGTCAAAGACTCCATCCACCCAAGTCATAGACTGTTCTCTCTGCTACCGCACGGCAAGCGGTACCAGAGCACCAAGTCTAGGTCCAAAAGGCTTCTGAACAGCTTCTACCCCCAAGCCATAAGACTCCTGAACAGTTAATCAAATGGCTACCTGGACTATTTGCATTGACCCCCTTTTTTTTTGTTGCACTGACTCTCTTGTACAGGCTCTATGCACACTCACTCGACTCTCCCCACACATACCTACACACACACACACGCTCACACACACAAAACACACACACACACATGCATATTGGCTTCACGCACACTCACACATAGACACACTTTCACACTTCACATACGCTGCTGCTACTCTGTGTATTATGTATCCTGATTGCCTATTTACTTTTACCCAAAGAGCTGTCCAAGGATGTCAGGGACAAGATTGTAGACCTACACAAGGATGGAATGGGCTACAAGACAATCGCCAAGCAGCTTGGTGAGAAGGTGACAACAGTTGGTGCGATTATTCGCGCAAATGGAAGAAACACAAAATAACTGTCAATCTCCCTCGGCCTGGGGCTCCATGCAAGATCTCACCTCGTGGAGTTGCAATGATCATGAGAACGGTGAGGAATCAGCCCAGAACTACACGGGAGGATCTTGTCAATGATCTCAAGGCAGCTGGGACCATAGTCACCAAGAAAACAATTGGTAACACACTACGCCGTGAAGGACTGAAATCCTGCAGCGCCCGCAAGGTCCCCCTGCTCAAGAAAGCACATATACAGGCCCGTTTGAAGTTTGCCAATGAACATCTGAATGATTCAGAGGAGAACTGGGTGAAAGTGTTGTGGTCAGATGAGACCAAAATCGAGCTCTTTGGCATCAACTCAACTCGCCGTGTTTGGAGGAGGAGGAATGCTGCCTATGACCCCAATAACACCATCCCCACCGTCAAACATGGAGGTGGAAACATTATGCTTTGGGGGTGTTTTTCTGCTAAGGGGACAGGACAACTTCACCGCATAAAAGGGACGATGGACGGGGCCATGTACCGTCAAATCTTGGGTGAGAACCTCCTTCCCTCAGCCAGGGCATTGAAAATGGGTCGTGGATGGGTATTCCAGCATGACAATGACCCAAAACACACGGCCAAGGCAACAAAGGAGTAGCTCAAGAAGAAGCACATTAAGGTCCTGGAGTGGCCTAGCCAGTCTCCAGACCTTATTCCCATAGAACAGGGTTCTTCAATTCCGGTCCTGGAGGGCCGAAACACTTCTGTTTTTTATTTCTACCTGGTAGTTAATTGCACTCACCTGGTGTCCCAGGTCTGAATTAGCCCCTGATTAGAAGGAGAGGATGAAAAACAGAGGTGTTTCGGCCCTCCAGGACCGGAATTGAAGAACCCTGCCATAGAACATCTGTGGAGGGAGCTGAAGGTTCGAGTTGCCAAACGTCAGCCTCAACCTTAATGACTTGGAGAAGATCTGCAAAGAGGAGTGGGACAAAATCCCTCCTGAGATGTGTGCAAACCTGGTGGTCAACTACAAGAAATGTCTGACCTCTGTGATTGCCAACAAGGGTTTTGCCACCAAGTACTAAGTCATGTTTTGCAGAGGGGTCAAATACTTATTTCCCTCATTTAAAATGCAAATCAATTTATAACATTTTTGACATGCGTTTTTCTGGATTTTGTTGTTGTTATTCTCTCTCACTGTTCAAATAAACCTACCATTAAAATTATAGACTGATCATTTCTTTGTCAGTGGGCAAATGTATAAAATCAGCAGGGGATTTACATTTAAGTCATTTAGCAGATGCTCTTATCCAGAGCCACTTACATTAAGTGAGTGCATGCATTATTTAAATTTTTCATACTAGCCCCCCGTGGGAATCAAACCCACAACCACAGCGTTGCAAACGCCATGCTCTACCAACTGAGCTACATCCCTGCCGGCCATTCCCTCCCCTACCCTGGACGACTTGTGCGCCGCCCCATGGGTCTCCCGGTCGCGGCCGGCTACGACAGAGCCTGGATTCGAACCAGGATCTCTAGTGGCACAGCTGCGATGCAGTGCCTTAGACCACTGCGCTACTCGGGAGTTAACTGCGCCACTCGGGATCAAATACTTTTTTTCCCTCACCTGTAGCTACATAGGCCAATTACCTTAATTACCTCAGCTACCTCGTACCCCTGCACATTGACTCAGTACTATTTCCTCTTGTTTTTTTTTTGTGCTAATGTTTCTTACTTTTTAACTCTGCATTGTTGGGAAAGAGCTCGTAAGTAAGCATTTCATAGTAATGTCTACACCTGTTGTATTCGGCGCGCGTGACCAATATAATTTGATTTGATGTATGCTGTAGCCTACATGAGTCTGCACATTCATTAGTTGATATAAGACCGGTAAAACTGGATTGTCATGACTCACACATATAAGGTGACCGATAGGCTTGTTTAGGTGATAGATACACAGTGTTATTTGATATGGTCCTTTGTAGCTCAATTGGTAGAGCATGGCGCATATAACGCCAGGGTAGTGGGTTCGAGCCCCGTTAAAAAAAAATTATGCACACATGACTGTAAATCGCTTTGGATAAAAGCGTCTGCTAAATGGCATATTATGTTGGATTGCTTATTTCATTCACAAGAACGAGGTCAGCATTTTTTGCAAAGAGAGGCTGGGTTGGGGTTGTTGCTGGCTAAACATAGGGGAGAAATACACATGTAAAGCAAATTGGTTGCGAAGCCTATTTACTGTTCATACCCACAAAGGAAGGTGACCTATTTTCCTGCAGATAGCTCCGTGGATAAAGGAAGAACAGACAGGACGCCTCCCACACTGAATGACTTCATTGGTTGATTCTGCACGCTCTACAAAAGTAGGCGTGTTCATATTGAACCAATCGGGTTGATGCTAACAAATCCTTATAAAACCGCAGAACAACGGTCAATCTCTACGGATTCCTTCAACAACTCAACCAAGCTGTCTTCAACTTTCGCATCTGTCTCCAACTTTCGCATCTGTCTCCTTTTGCGGTCGAGTTTACAATCATGGCCAAGGACATGACACTTCTCTGGGGCTCCGGCTCTCCTCCGTGCTGGCGTGTCATGATCGCTCTGGAGGAGAAGAAACTGCAGGGATACAATCAGAAACTTCTGTCCTTCGAGAAAGGAGAGCACAAGTCTAAAGAAGTCCTGGACATCAATCCCAGAGCACAGGTATGTCATTTGCAGTGTTCGCTGTATTGCAGTTGCCTATTTCCTCTGCAGTCGCTATAATGTGGCACAGTTCTGTGTTGCAGGTCCACTCCAGTCCAAGACTCCAGACAAACAAGACACACCTATTGCGTAACTAAAAATGCAGAACTGCATTGTCATGCTTACCTCTGCGTTTCCTCTCTCTCTCCCTCCCAGCTCCCTGCTTTCAAACACGGAGACAACATACTCAACGAGTCGTATGCAGCGTGCATGTACCTGGAGGTAAGATATGGGTCTGACTTAGCTCTGGTCCAGGACGTTCAATCGTCTTTTCTACTAATTTAGTAGAGAAACACCCTAATGCCCTGGTCCAGAGCTAGGTCTAACTAGCCTAATGAAGCTAGGTCTAATTCTCTCAGTATTTCCACTAGTATTCAACAAAGCTGTGCAATATTTATTACAATCCAACTTGTGTAAGTTTTAGTTGTCATTGTGCTGTAAATTGATTCTGCTGTAATGGACAAATGATTTGCCTAGCTCAAACCCTTCTCCTAATGTAGGGTTTTCAGTGTTTACATTCACCCACATTTGGCTCCACCTGAACTACAATTTTACTGTTTAAACGTCTTAGTCAATGTTTTATTTATTTAACCTTTATTTAACCAGGTAAGCCAGTTGAGAACAAGTTCTCATTTACAACTGCCACCTGGCCAAGATAAAGCAAAGCAGTGCGATAAAAACAACACAGAGTTACATATGGGGAAAAACAAAACGTACAGTCAATAACACAATATAAAATATATATATACAGTGTGTGCAAATGTAGTAAGTTATGGAGGTAAGGCAATAAATAGGCCATAGTGCAAAATAATTACATTTGAGTATTAACACTGGAGTGATAGATGTGCAAAAAGTGAAGTCAATCATCACTTTCAAACCGGTTTTTGAAACATGCTGATATGCCCCTTATCTTTCATATCAGCGAGAAATAATCTTTAAAATAAACAAGATACTTAATGTAGCAGGTTTTGCACAGATCCATGAGTTGTGTGCCTCCAGTTGAACTCTAGTTCTCCCCGGTTACCGGACACGCAGGTGTTCAGCTGGCCGCCTGTCTTCTGGAAACAGGTGATGTAACATGGAGCTGTGGGGAAAACTAACCCTATAAAAGGTGTGTAGTCATTTAACCTTTTTGTTCTTAGAAAATTATTTCTCACTGATCTGAAAGATGCCTTATGTTTCCATAAACGTAGCTCAAGCGCTGCGTGTTAATGTTTCCCCCAAGCGTCGGGGCTCGTTGAACTAAACTCCCCTGGTCAGAAGATGCTATCGTCAAGAGGCGCTAAAGCACGTAGCGTCTATGAATGGGGTAATTATTTCCAAGCAATAAAAGACTGTGGTCAATATTTGATATGGTGGAGTATCTATTTAAAGGGACATTTCAAAATGTTTCAACTTCATATTCATCTCCAGCACCACTCCAACGTCATGTGAGAATGGCGCGTTTCTATGTTTTGTAGTACAAAAGATGGAGGAAGATGCGTGTTCCCAAGGACATCTCTGTGCATCCTGTGTTTTTATTTTATTTTATTTTTATTTTTTAAAAATAAATTATGAGTAGGCAGTTCCTAATTGGTCAAATTATGTCATTGGAAACACTCATATTTTTTACTATAACATAGAAACGCGCCATTTTCAGATGTTGGTGGTGCTGAAGATGATGAATACAAAGTTGAAACGTCCCTTTTTTTTAAGCAGGCAACGTTGGCTATACCCCAACCCTTTGTCTACAATAATGAACAACACCACCTACTGACATTTGATAGCACCATGACATTTGAGTCCAAGCATTGTACACACAATTCAGTGACTTCAGTAATACCTCTTTTTGACCAAAGGTCCATAGCTAGCTACTACTGGATATAGGTATCTTTACTTAGACCTGAATTAAGCAATCAGGCCATGGGCAGGGGTGCCTGGATACAGCCCTTAGCCGTGGTATATTGGCCATATACCACAACCCCACCCCAAGGTGCCTTATTGCTATTATAAACTGGTTACCAACGTAGTTAGAGCAGTAAAAAATAAATGTGTTGTCATACCCTTGGTAGACGGTCTGATATACCACGGCTTTCAGCCAATCACCGTTCAGGGCTCGACCCACCCAGTTTCTAATTGTTACTGTTTCGACCGTTTTTTGTTGTTGAGTTCCTACAAGAAACAATGAGCTCACAAAAGTGATATGTTGAATGTACTGTATATTAAGTAAGTTATCAGTGCATCAAATGTAGTGCGCAGTTGGTATTGCCCCACTAGGTGTCGCTAATGCACTGCACAGTAAGACTTGACTGTTCTGAGTTTACCCCAGTTCACTGTTCTCTCTCTCTCTTCCGTGCCTGAGCCAGTTAAAGTCCTAGGGGATCCTGTTCACTGCTCTCTCGTTCTCATCCGGGCCACTGTTCTCTCTCGTTCTCATCCGGGCCACTGTTCTCTCTCGTTCTCATCCGGGCCACTGTTCTCTCTCGATCTCTCCCCTGACAGAGCCAGTTCAGGTCCCAGGGAGCCCAGTTGATTCCTGGGGGACAAGCAGAGCAGGCCCTGATGTACCAGCGCATGTTTGAGGCCCTCAGCCTCATTGACAAACTCTGTAAGACGCGCATACATACACACATTGTACTGTTCCTTGGCAACAGTGGTCATGCGATACTTGGCTCCTGTTTCAGATACTCGGCACCCCAGAGTGACGCTCTCTTGTTCAGAAAGCTGCCGTCCTGACTATCATTGTTAGACTGTGCCACATTCCCTACAGGCCAAATGTTACTGACTGATGCCATGGGTTGAGTCCCAAATGACACCCCATTCCCTTTTATAGTGCACTACTTCTTTTTAAGTGCCCTGGTCAAAAGTAGTGCACTATAAAGGGAATAGGGTGTCATTTGGGGGATGCATCATTTGATTTATTTCTTAAAGGAAGACTCAGCGATAGGTAAAAAAAATAAATAAAGTGTGTGTTACATAAAAGAGTAGTGAGTGCTCAAACCTAGGTGATATTGTGTGATGGGTCAAATCCCATGCTGTGCCTAGCCGAGCCCAACCCAGGGTTTGGCCACCCAGACCAGAGTCATAAGACTGACTGCTTCCCAAGTGATTCCCTATGTAGTGCATTACTTGTGACCAGGGCCTGGATGGAGGGGACTTGATGAATGGAGGGTTGGCTTAGACAGAGTTGAAGGATGTGAAGTGGACACCGTCTTTAATCTGTGATTCACTTATGATATTCGTTCATACAGGGCTCCTCCACACACGCATATCCCCCCCCCCCCCTCCCCAACATGTTGTGACTTGCTCAACTTGCTGTCCCCCCCACATGGCTTTGGAACAGAGAAGACCAATGAATTTATATCTCTATTGAGGGGCCATATGTTGAAGATGATTACATTTGTTTTGACGTTTGGTTTGTCTCACAGCTAATGTCATCTACTACAACTACCGTGTCCCTGAGGGAGAGAGGCATGACTCTGCGATCAAGAGGAACAAGGAGAACCTGACCACTGAAATCAAACTGTGGGAGGGATACTTTCAGAAGGTGCATGCATTTACGAACGCGTTCGCACACACCCTCTGTATTTGTTGTTGATAGACAAGTCTTGTTCACGGCCTTAATGCTCAAATCAGTTGTTTTTCAAATCCATTTTGGATTACTGACTGTCCAAACGGCAAGTTTCATGTGACCAAATTTGGATTTTGTGTGTTCAGACATTTGCCGACATGGCTACCCTAGTTGTCATGGTTACGCTAGTTGTCATGGTAACAACTGTTGTGTGCGCTGCGGCGTAGGCTGCTCCTGCTTCCTGTCACTCAGAAGTTATGTAGCAAGCTAAGGTGAAAACAATGCCTGCCATGGACGTTTCCCAGCTGCTTTAAAATGTTCAAATTCATAGTATAAGAACGCTTAAAGCCTCAAAGGATAAGATGCTCCAACTTTAAAAATGAGTCCTTTTGGCTAGCTAGGTAGCGGTTTGGCTTTCTAGCACGTACAATTGTTTTGTTAACAAGCTAGTTAGCAACCACATGTTCTTGTCAAACTGTCAACAGAGTAGCTAGCAAGCAACAAGATATGCCAAGTAAAAGTATTTGCCCCCAAGTGGTTTTTAAATTTCAAATCCCATGGCCAGGAATCAGATTTGTATGTTGAAATACCTGATTTGGCGTGCCATTTGGCTGTTCATACTGCAGGAAAAATAACCGTTTTTTAAATTTATTTAAATGTGTAAAAACAGGATTTGAGTCATATCAAACTGCCAGTGTGAACAAGGCTTAATAAAAGTTGCTTGTTTCCAGATGGAGGCGGGTTCTTACCTGGCAGGAAAAGCCTTCTCATTGGCTGATGTTATAGTCTTCCCTGTGATTGCTTACGCCTTCCGCTTTGGGTAAGAGGTTCACCATGTATTATCACTTATGGATTAAGGGATGGGTGGACGTATGGATTGAAAGATGAGTATGTTTCTCCCACGGGCGACGACGACGTGTGAGTGAATGAATGATTTGTGTGTCCTCCTCTCCCTCCAGGCTGTCTGCAGAGCGCTACCCCAAACTGGGAGCGTACTACGCAATGCTGAAGGACAGACCCAGTGTTAAAGCTACCTGGCCCCCACACTGGCTGGAAAACCCTCAGGTGGGGGACGCGCTCAGGGAGTTCTGAGACTCACACCTACTCAGGAACACGCATATTATCTTAATCTATGTATCCTTTATGTCACGATTGTAACTGAAAGACAAAAGTTCCTTTTTTTTTTATGCGGGTTTCTTCAGATGAGTGTCAGTCGAGTAGTTTTCCACCAAGCGAACACCACCATTTTTTTTTTTTGCGTTTGCCTTTTTTCGTGGTTTTGTAACAAACAAGTGCTGTTTTTATAATTTGACTGTCTCTGAAACATTAAACACTGTTTTTTTTTAACATGGCTTTATAATACCAGTATGTCCCCAATATCATTCATGGGTCTTGTGTGTGTGGAATTAAAATCATACCAAACACTGCTACTTAATGTGTTTGTGTGCGCATGTCAACATATCCATGTACATTCAAGGCAAATCAAATGTAGCCTACTTGAGTATACACATTGAGATGTTGTTGAAGACCAGTGAGAACAGGGTTTCCATGGTGACGGCTGATAATGTATGAACTCACTAACTAAGTCGCTCTGGATAAGAGCGTCTGCTAAAATGTCAATGTAATGTCATGGTTGTGTTGCTCATTTCATTTACAGTGATCTTAGTGGGATACTTCTGAAGCAAGCTATATACTCAAGATTTTAAAATGTTTAATCAGTAATCTTCCTCAAATGAAGGGGATGATGACGCAATCTTTGCGAGACGGAGGGAATCTGATTTCATTGTTCCATAACTTGCGGCTCAGTCATTTAATTCAGCGTGTGGGACAAATAGAAATGTAACACCCCCCCCCCCCCCCCCCCATTTTGAAAATACTGTAATTTCAAATAAATTGCACACCCTCCCCCCTCATAGAATGAACTCAACATAATGTTTACCACCATGTAACTGTTGCAAACTTTTGTTTAAGTGTGGATCTCGAATCAGCATGCTTTTTGTGGCACATTCGATGCTACGCAGGGTTACTGGCCAGAAGGTTGAGGGTTTGCAGACCACCACGGACAAGCTCACTCTCCCTGACTGTTTCATTCCGCTACGATCAGAGCCGGCCGCAGACAACGATCAGCTAGGAGGAAATCCGATAAATGATGTTGATGCCATATTTAAAATTATGTCAAATGTATGCAATGAATTTTCCACCAACAGGATTCTGTGCCAATGCACCACACAACCAATGAACAAAGCATACCAACTTCGGGCACTTCAATATCATGGTTTGCTTTTCAACGCCACAATAAATACTGTCCATCTTGACAAACAAAAAATACATTCCTCCTTACCTTGTAGGCCTACCCAGTCTCGAAGTATGGTTTAACACAACCTGGTCTCAAGAGCGTTTCATATTATTCTGTGTAAATCTGAAACACTCCATTTAGTTTGATCTGTATTAATTTGTGGATGTCCATGACCCATTTCGGTTATGTTACGAAATACAATTAATATTATGTTACGAATTTGCAAAACGTTTGATATGTTAACAATTATAGCTAGGTGGCTAACGTTAGCTAGCTCGCTAAAGTTAGCTAGGTTAAGGGTTGGGTTAGCTAAAATGCTAAGTAGTTAAAAAGTAGTAAATTGTTTGAAAATTGTTTCAAATGACCGTACAAAGGTGACACTGGTATGTCGGGAATATTGGGCTGTAGAGAGAGAACTGTTCTACCCTTCTCAGCTAAAGTGGGGAGGTAAATACTAAGTAGGGTCTCTACTAACAACATATGTGTAGATCCGGAGGGTTGACTGTCGCATGGCCTGCTGCTGGCTTTTCATTCCACTCTATCTATAGCGCCCAATGCAATACACTGTGGATAGTACCATGTCATTTAAAGCTGTGTTGCTGGATATGTACAACACAGCCCAGTTTGATGGAAACACCTCTGGTGGGAAAATGCGCATATTGTTTCATCCAGATTTTAGAATATTCTCGTGAAAATCTGTTCGCAAATTGGATGGAAACCTACTGATATGTTTAGGTTCTAGGTTCATGAGGAATAGACGCTCTGATTGGAGAGGAGGCAGAGCACTAGTTAAGGTTCCTGAATAACTGAGCCTGTCGGGAGCATATGTGGCAACATTATTATAGGAAGACTTGGGAGAATGATGATCTGCAACAGACAGTGCGTCAGTATCAGAAGTTTTAAAAAAATACAGCAAGACTGACCTGCTACTGTGCCTTTCTAGACCTTATAAACTGTCCAGAGAGAACCCACAATTGAATCCCAATGGAATGAAACATTCAAATCACAGGGCTTTTGCGCCATTATTCCATTTACTGTTGTACTCACTTGAAAACAATAATGCAATTATTCACTGTGGTGTTGTAGGCTACTCTATGCAGGATAATTGTATTGTCCCTAAACAAGATGAACAGGAGAGCTTTCTGTGCTCTGTCTCATGTCTTCACTGTTCTTTCATGCGCAGAGGCTGATAGGCCTCTCCGCCAGTGGCGGCTCCTGAAAAAATTCTCAGGGGGGGCAATTTTTCTGATGATTTAGGTGACCTACACACATTTAAAAAAAGATATGTCCAGCAACAACATGAAGACAGGGGCAGCATATAAGTCAATACCAGAAGCATTTATTGACTGATCTCAAAAGTGTTGGCTTACCAGGGTTGGTGAAGCCCTCAGTTTCATCTTTGCCTCGCAAAGCTAACTCAAACACTCCGCAAAACTTCACACACTGGATTAGCCGGCTGAGGATGTGGCGGTTCTTGCTAATGTCGTAGTAAATATATTTGTTATAGTGAATATGGAATATGATATGTTGAGTAAAATGTTGTGCTAAGATCTATTTAGGTCAGGAGCTGGTTATAAGTTCTGTTCCTATCCAATAACAATGGACAAAAGGGTCCTATCTTGTCAGCCTTGTCAGCAGGTGGCCATGGACAACACCCACGCCATGGGTCTCTCAGTTCTTCCAACTCACGAGTTCTTGCTCTGAGGACACACACACACACACACACAAACACACACACGCACACATCATCACTGTTAAACACACACACACACACACACACACACACACACACACACACACATCATCACTGTTAAACACACACACACACACACACACACACAAAAATCCCCTCTCTTAGGCTGAACATTTGAAGACAGAGAACCCGACTCAGAGCCAATGCAACAGTGACACTAGCCTGGAGGTGACCTCGCCCAACTCATCAGGACCAATCAGAAGATCAGAACTACTAGATTCAACCTACTTCATTTATTGCATAAAATGTCTGCACACAATGAAACATTGTCTTCAGATAACGAACGGGTCCGTGCACGCGATTCCAGATATCTTTACCTCTGAATAAACTGCCTTTATTATACCATATCCACCCTGTCCAAAGTCTCTACTTGGTCTCAGTTCTCCAGTAAACTTGTGATTATCAACACTAACCTCATCGTTGTGGCGGCTGACAGCTAGCCTGTATCCCTCATCCAGTTGAGTGGCAATGTTCACTCCCCAAAGCAGACCATCTCAAACAGCTATCCATGTGGGTCTTTGACAGCTCATGTTTCTTAATCTTTCCTGAAAGATGGTGCATGTCCGTTACACACCAGTCGCTGTCCAAGCGGTGCTGTCTGCCGTGCCGCCTTCAGGGTGAAAGAGTAAGCAGGGGGTAGCAGAAGACTGCATTAGCTACATCGCAGCCTGCTAGCCAGGTTTTTCGTTCGTACTAATTTTTGGAAAATCCTCGGGTGTAGGACTTTCCGCCTTTAGTAGAAACCTGTTGAATTATTAAATTTGGTCTGGGAGGTCCTAATTGTTTCGTTGCCAATTTATCTTGATTTGTTCGCCGACAAAAAGTAACTTATTTCAAAGAGACAATCGAGTTGCACTGAACGCTATAGCAATCTTACCAGTAGTACGTGAATTGATTGACGCTGCTACCCGCTCTTTTCTTAGTTACGTTCATGGTTACGTTACGTATGACGAAAGCGCGTAAGTGCAAGCCCTCAGAAACCCATAGAGATTGTATTGAAAGCTCTGATATTTGAAAAAAATAGATTTTACATGGGAGTCTATGACAGACTTCTGGGCGATTTTCAACCTGACTGAAATCGCCCCAAAAGGGGGGGGGGGGGGCATTTGAAGCACGACTTTAGCCTGATTGGACATTTAGTGGCAGATCAGACCAGACGTCTAGATTACAACACTGATAACTACTGTTGCCGTGATATAATTGATTAGAAAAAAAATCCCTTCCTTTTCCCGTTTGGCAGTGCGTCGCCCATATCGCCCTATTGAACACACCGCCCCTGCTCTCCGCTGCCTATCAGCTATTCCTATTTGTTCTTGTGGATTCATATTGAAAAAAGCTTTGAATGCTTTTATGTGTGGTTCGATTGTTAGTTAGCCTATTGCAGATCTGGACAAACGATCCACCTTCCGCTAATGTCACTATGCATGGTGTATAGAGGCCAGGATAGACAATGGTCTGATGTACATTTACATGTTTTACATTTTATTCATTTAGCAGACGCTCTTATCCAGAGCGACTTACAGTTAGTGAGTGCAAACATTTTTATTTTTTATTTTTTTCATACTGGCCCCCGTGGGAATCGAACCAACAACCCTGGCGTTGCAAACGCCATGCTCTACCAACTGAGCGACATCCCTGCCGGCCATTCCCTCCCCTACCCTGGACGACGCTGGGCCAATTTGTAACTTTGTAGGCCGCATGTGCTGCAACAAAATCACATGTTCTCTTCTGCTTTATCATGGATTGAAGGAGGTGCGTAATTCCAGTCCATATAATACAGTATAATACCACACAGTACAATAATACAGTTCACACTCAAAAAAGATTAGCTCACTGGAGCTAGTTTCATTTATTTACCCAAGAGAGCATATAGCTAGCTACATCTATGGGCTTTATATAGCTAGCTACATCTATGGGCTTTATATAGCTAGCTACATCTATGGGCTTTATATAGCTAGCTACATCTCTGGGCTTTATATAGCTAGCTACATCTCTGGGCTTTATATAGCTAGCTACATCTCTGGGCTTTATATAGCTAGCTACATCTATGGGCTTTTATATAGCTAGCTACATCTATGGGCTTTATATAGCTAGCTACATCTATGGGCTTTATATAGCTAGCTACATCTATGGGCTTTA